AATACCCTAACGTTTTGCAATAAACTGCAATAAATACTATATTAATAAAAGTCATTTTGGTTCAAATTGCCCTAACTCGGGCCCAAAATCCTGATCAAAATCCCTAGGGTGGGGATGCAATTAATGATCAAATACCCCAGATCTGGGACTTAACATTGATAGATGCATTATATGCAGGTTTTTTTTGTATTCTCATATAATGTACCACAAAGTATCAGCAGCATGTTATTGTGGGACCTTTGATCAATATGTATATATAAATAGACATATTTTTGTTTTATTGTTGCATTAATTTTAATGAAAAATTACTCACAAAGTTGGTCAAGTGAATGTATAAACAATTTATTTATTCATTTAGTGTACAGCACATGTTACAATTATGTACTTAATTGCATGAGTGTGTATGACAGACATTGTTTTAATTGCACCCACTTGTGATTAACCTTGTTTTTGTTTAAAAATGTTGACAAAAAATCTAAAAGGTTAGCGAATTGAAATAACAGCATTTCTATAACTTGCTAAACCTAGTCAGTTGCTATTATATCACAAACATATGTCAACATACACTCATGCTCTTCTTTACCATTTGAGTCTCCCACTCACCACATTACTTTATGAAATTTTTTGATAAAATCCTATTTTAAAAAAGTCAACCCTATACTTGATATGCTGAACATAGACGTCTAAGATATCTCCTTCGGCAATTGGTGGGTGCAAATACTCGCATAGTTCAGAAACAATATAACCAACATGTGTCCATCCAGTTCCATATAGTCCAGATCAATTGCACTTGGGTCCATTGGATTCAATTGCTCTGGCCATATTCTTTATACATTCACTGGTTTATCTTGTCCATGAAGAGCAAGGTATATTGCCTGTTCCAAATGATGTTGGTAGTTTTTCTCATGAGCAGCACTGATGCACTTGAATGGCACAGCATGGGTGATTTCGTTCTCGTCACTTTCATCCTCATCACTTAACTGGTCACCACTTTCTGCCCTATCACTTTCATTACCATATCCATCCTGACCAGGTTCAAGACCAGCCAACCACTCAAGTAGATCTTTTTCTACAAAATCATAACAAGAAAATTTTTATTTTATTATTTTATTATTTTATACATACACTGTAATATCTAAAATTAGCAATCTAATGCAAAAGTGTGTCACTATTTACAGCAATATTAGAACAACACACAAATATGGCAATATTATTTTCAGATGAAAATTGAAAAATATATAACTACTGTATGCACGTCCATTTACTGTATGTAAAAATCTATCCACAACTAGATACAAACAGTCATCATACTTCAGCAAAAATGTATTAAACAATTTGTTTAACTCAAAACATGTACATAATATATCACAGTGACACAGTACATAGACACACACACAATAAGGTCAAATTAGAGGCAATAAACACAAATATTACGCTATAATTTTGTACATTGTATTTCTGAAATAGTTACAGTACAGTTCAAGAATAAAAACAACAAAGCGGAAATTTGACTATAAAATAACAAGATAACTGTAATGCATTGTAATATACCAACCTTAAATACTGCGCTTGTTTTCACGTTGATGATACACGGAGATTTAACACCATCCAACTTAGAAAGAAGAGCCTTGCTATTGGGAATATTTATATAAACACAATTCCTTTGCTCAGACGGATTATTTATAAACTAAACTAAAATGACAGCACGTCCCATGCAATTTAAAAAAAGGTAAACTTGGTATAGCAAAACAAAAGTCATAATGAGGATAGCAACAATACAGCAATATGCTATTATCACAGAGTATCTGACACTCTTGTCGTTCGAAAGCTTCCATATTGGTTTAGTCAGAGAGATGTTCACTCCTTGACAGTCAACAGTCAATGGAGCCACGCGTGGAATTAGGTTCTCAATACCCATGATGCTTTGCGGCCTGCTGTCCAACCTCTGCACGTACTGTACCTCCGTATAATGAGTATACCGTGAAAATAATATCAGCACTCAATTGAATACCTAGAATCTCAAAGATTTTCGACTCAATGTTTAATACGTCTGAAATGTTTATACACTTGAGAGTTGAGTGTTGACTGCACTGTCTAGGCGTTCTAGCTCCTTCCTAGCTCTGTATAATGAATATACCGTCTAAATATTATCGGCACTTCATTGAACGTCCGTAATGCATAAGATCAATTTATATATTGCGTAGATTTTCAAAAATTTACTCAATATTCACGTCTGAAATGTTTATACATCTGAAAACAACACTGTTACTCGTCACGTCATCGTGATCTACGGCTTGATAGCGCATGCGCATTTGCGCTACTAAAGAAAAATCGGGTGTTCCTGGGGTAAAGATCCTTTACACAACATGAGAAGCGAATGTTCTAAAATTTACAAAAAAATACAATAACAAAAGCGATTCCTCGAAATTTTTGTGAACTTGGCAAAAAGGATAACAGCATATGTAAATAAGTTGACTGAAATTGCTTAAATAACCTTCAAAGTACTGACAACGCACAATAAATCACTACGAACATAAATCGTATACACCCCCCGGAAAGTTCACTGTATGACTGAATGAATGGATGAATGTCCGTCATGGAGGACGGACATGAAATTTTGAGCTCCGCTCGTTTAAGAGGAAATAGCCGACTTTTGGCAGAAACTCTGTCACAGTTAGGTTCTGACGATTGGGGAAATATATCAGATATATCATTAGTTGAAAACGTGGCTAACGAAGGACAAAACAGCGACGAGGATTGCGAAATCTTAAAATTTATCGAAGACACCGAGAGAGACATTGCAGCAAAGTCGACTCAGTATGTGAAGGGTATATTAACAAGAGACAAAACAGCGAACCTTTATAAAAGAAGGGAGAATATCTTGGACTACTGTAAAAGTAAGATTATAGAGTGTCCAAAAGAGAA